GGGCGGCGGCGGAGAGGGGCGGGGAGAGGGGCTGCCAGCGGCTTTGCAGCCTAACACCTTGGCGTTCGGGCTTTGGCCTCTTCTCTTCTTGTTGTTGTTGTTTCCCCCGCAAACTTTATACCTGAAATAGCCTTGCGTGGTTAACTGAGGAAAGCCTGTGGGGGCGCCTTCCCATGGGCGCCCTGTGCGGGGGGAGGCTGAGCAGCAGGCAGGAGCATCGTGGGGATTTAAAAAGGAAATATGTAGCACAATGGCAAGTTTATTGGCTTTGGCTGCTTATCAAATATTTAAGGCTGCATATGTTTTAACAAAAACACAAAATCAAGAAACAGGATCATCGGTGCCATCCCCTCTGAAGCTGAGCCTCTGTTGAGAGTCAAGGCAAACTATACTCAAGCGTATAACCAAGATCCTCTGATTGAGCTTAGTGTATGGTATTAGTGCAGTAAAAATTAAGTATGTGGTGAAACCTCAACCTGTTAAGCGTGCAGACTGAAATACCACTGCTGATTGGTAGTTGGGCTGGATGGAGAAAGTTCCACTAGAAATGGACTGTGGCTGTCTTAGAAGTAGTTAATGATCTTTATAAAAGACTTACCTTAACAGCTATGCAGGTGTAGTGTCTTGGGTTCTTGCAGTCCTGCAGCACACTCGCACTGAGCAACTGGTTACAAAACACTCAGCCTTGACTCTTCTGTCAGTAGAGATATGAATTAATGACTCTAGGAAAAAGACCATGCAAATATAGCATTGAATATTCTCAATGAACATTGCAGTATGTACTTCCTCTTGAATGGCGCATGGTTACACATATGTGTGCCACAGCTTTGGGGCATCCCGGATGGTCATCAAAACATAAACACATCATATGGTGTATATAACTCTTTTACGCTTTCTTAGCAGATGAGCGACATAGATGAAACTCAAGTATTTTGTATTTGTTCACAATAATAATGAAAGAAGGGAGAACAGCCAGAAGTAGAAACGCTTATGAAATGCACGTACTTGTTCTTTACCCCCCTGGACAGGCGACAAGCCAGGAGTTTAATATGCAGCAATCCAGTCCAGAGGCAAAGGCTGTGCTATACTGCCTATGCCTGTTTAGGGAACCAGTAGATTGATATATTGTAGCTCCCTCAATTCTACTCTTGGCATATTCCCAGCTGCTGCCTCTCACTGTCTTTGATATCAAAGTAGTGCAGAGCCAATGTTGAACCTCTCTGGGCAACCTGGTGGCCTTCCATTGCTATCTGTCTCTCTAGTACATTCTCTTTATTCTGTCTTCCACCGTGCAGGCAAGGAGCTAGGGATCAGCCTGCCACTCCATGCATAAAATTAATCCAACAGATGGGCTGACAGATCAATGAGCACAGTTTAATCTTACATTGATGAAAGTTGTTACTTTCCCATATAGAAAAATAGAACAAGGGCTACAGTAGGTTTAGGATTTTAATACTTTTTGAAGTCGTCTTAGGCATAAGCTATGTATTGCTACTGAACTATACTGTGTACACCTTTAATATTTTCTCTATTGGAATAGCATTATCCATAAAGGAACTGAAAACTGGTGCAAAATTGTTCTTGGTCTCCTTTGGTGTTTGCCTCATCTTTCTCATACCTTTAGAAGCTAACTTTTCAATGGAATGTTGACCTGAAGGGATAAATCCTATGTTCTCTGTACTCTTGGCTCCATCAGCAAGAAGCTGGACTATGCTTATTTAATGAAAAATAAATAATAGGATCCGGCCCTTACCAGTTCCAATACCTAGAAGGGAAGAATGTTGCTGATTTTGATGCTTTCGGTAATGGTGGTGGAGGATCTGGATATGTGCCTCTAGCTATTTTTCTTTCCTAAATGCAAATCTCATAAGCAGTATCTGGCTAGAATCTGTGACTGCTAATGAAAAAAAACCATCAGTAATAGTCTCCTGCCCAGTCTTAAAAGGCAGAAAGCGTTCTAGTAGAAGTATAGAGGTTTTTTCGATTTAGGACAGTAATGACTTCATTTATTGCAGAAGTTTGGAGGAAGACCTTCAAAGTGATTAAGGTGGTAGAACGAGTTCCATTGGAAATGTCTCCTCCCTGAGTTCTGATACAGCTGTGTTCTGCTGCAAGTTCTGTCTTCAACAAACTTTAACACTCTGGTTGAATTTTGTTTGCTTAGGGTGAATTTTTTGATCAGTCCCATGTGGCCCTACCAAATGTTTCAAAGTTCTTCCTGCATCAAGCCATGGAGGAGAGAAAAGCTGCAGAAGCTTTGATGAAGTATCAGCAAGAAAGAGGAGGCCACTACTGTTCTAAAACCATCCAGGTGTGTAGCAAGCAACTTGTAGTCTTTTGCAATTAGCAATAATTACTCTAGACTCCTGCATTATATAGTTGGTGCCTCAGAACTCTCAGTATTCAACCACTATTAGATTTTTCAGATATAATTTCCCTATTATATTAGTTAACATGCTTTTGTTCCTGATTGATGCCTAGAAAACTGTCAGACATGCAGTCCTAACTCCATATGATTGCTGGTCTGGCCAAAAAGGATATGAACAATGGTCCCTTTTTTCTTCCACTCAGCTGGAGACTGCTGTTTCCAGTGTGCTGTAATGGATTATGTGGGTCTCCTTAAACTGTTTCAGTGCTAAATCAGCCAACTTGTCTGCCTTCCCACTGAAACAAAATAAAGTCATTGGCATCTGAAAGGGGTAAGGAAGGAGGTGGGAGAAACATCCAGCTGGGAGCAGTAGCTCATCTGTTAGAACATAGCCAAAGACAGAATTTGAATCGATTTGACTCGGGCTTGCACAGGTATGAAGGAGTAACTCAGTTATCAGTTTTTAATTTAAAAAAAAAAAAAACCCTCCCTTGTAGAAGATGATAGGGCGGATTCTTCTCTGGCAAACTATTATGTATTATATAAACTATTTATATGTACTATATAAACTATCTATATGTATTATCCATTATATAAGCTATTATGTAAAGAGTTAAATATATCATCTTGCTGTTCCTTGGCCTATCATAGCATTTGTTGAGCTGGAAAAAGTAAAAATAAAAAGGCCATCTTGAGCAACTTTTTAAAATATTGAGTTTGCATCTATACGGATAGGTTTTTCTCATTTAAGAATATTTATCAGGCATAGCTACTGCTATTTAAATCTTGTTCCTTGAAACAAGGATTTGTGGGTTCTGGCACTTCTGTATGTTTACAGCCATCTAACTCAGCAAAAAATAACAGACGCTCCACACTAGAAGGAGCTCTTGGAAAATCCTAGCACGTTTTGTTTAGAAGGTCAGTTAAGTTGCAGGAAAATAGCAACGAATATGGTAAGATGAGCTGCTCTTATTAATAATTGTAACTATCTTTGCTTCTAGAAACCAAACTGTGAGTACGCAGTCAGTCTGATGAAAGCCCTGGAATTAGCAATGATCCAGTGGAAAACTATGACACGGTATTTTGAAGAGCTTTATGCCCTGAGCCTTGAAAACGCAGACCCTCACAGTGCAAGCACTATCAAGAAACAGTTCATTGAGCCCAAAATCCGGAAGATCAAGCTGATGGGAGATCTTCTGACCAATGCTCGCAGGCTTGACTGTTCCCAAGATGGCAGAAACAGTCTTGGCGATTACTTCATGGACCGGCTCCAGAAAGAGCTAAGAACAGGCATAGAGCCAGAGCCTAGTCAGCGCAGTAGCCCCTGCCCTCCTCTCCAGCAATGCACAGGAGCTGCAGAGGGTCTGAAGCGCCCCCAGAGAGAATCCTCCCAGCACAGGAATGGCATAGGGCCAATATATGCAACTGTATATTGCACTGCTGCAGTGCCACAGTGCAATGATGGGACAGGAGCAAAAGTGAAGCAGGGCAGGGAGGGACTGTAACACTAGGACTGCTACAGCTATGGAGCAGCTCCTAAGGCAGATCTTTATGGAGGGTGGCCTTGAGACCAGCACTCAGGAGATGCAATTGGTTACTCCTGTATCACTCCCCCTTCTTCATACCTTGGCCCTCATCCTCTGATGAGCCGCAGCTCAAAGTCTAGCCCATACCATTGTTTAAATCATAGTGAGATTGCTAGTTCCCCAGATTGTTTGCATCAATTACACTTTCATCTATGCAATTCTTACCGTAGAAGATGCTTCAGTGTAGAAACTAAAAGCCTTTAGGCCTCTCCTCTGGCTTAAATGACTGTTAGTATTAGTTAATGCCAATTATTTTTAACAGTGTATAGAACTTTTATAAAAAAAAAAAAAGAAAGAAAACTTTAGTACAAGGTAACTTCTATGTGGGAAAAAATCCAAAGATTAAGTTTTATATTAAATATTTTACATTAGTATGGTAACATTATGAACTCTTTAAAAGACTTGTTTTAAAACAAGGTGGATTTCTTGTTTTCTTTCTATCATAGTATCAATTTCAATAACTAAGTAAATTCATTTACCTATAACCCAGCTATTTCTTGTTGTATATGCCTTCAATATGAAGGATACTAACTTTTTCTCAATGTGGGAACAGGACAGTGTGCTGTTTTTCACTGCAGTTACTTGCCTTGTTGCCTTTTCTAATCCTCAAAAAGAGGATGAGATGTAAATTAGGGGTTCTCATTAGATGTGGTTTTCACCGGTTTTATTTTACAAGTGTCCCCAAAGGCCCTAGCTCTAGGGACTTGCCCAGACATAGCCTAGGACAGTTATTTTAATTATCACACAAATCCCTGTTTCAGCTGGATAAAGTATGGTACTACTGCTGATTTTCTGTATTCCCTATCTTGGCCCCAGGTAGGTGAATAACATCCTTGGGAAAGTGCAGCATGCGCAGCTAAAATTGCACTACAGAAAGCAGCCTCTCATTCATTTTTGCATTTCAGTTGAGGGGGGCATTCACACTGCCAAACTTAAAGCCTTCACTTTAGCCAGCTGGGTTAAAGTTCAGAGGAGTCTAAATTCCTTCCAGTGAGCTCCTACGGGAATGCCTCTCCTTCTCTACATTGACTAACAAGGTCACCTAGGAAGAGCAACTGGCTAAATCAGCTGCCTGGAACTAGGTTCTTAAGTCGGTATATACCACAGCTTTTAGGCAATTTGAGTTAATCTTTCAGTGGAACAAACCCCAACTTTTATGTAATACTGTAATCAATGTTTCTGTTGTTAAATTTGAAAATAAATTCAGTTCAATGTAAGAAATAATGCAGATGCAAATTTTTAAGTTTTCCAAATATGCATGCTAATGTTCTTCTCCAAGAGACTTTGCCTATTGACAAAACTGTGCCAGAGTCTATCTGCCCCCAAGAAAGTTACACAAGATAGAAATATACACCACAAAATGAAAACAAACATATCGGAAAACTGCATTAAGGTAAAAACACTGCACAAGGAAACACTAAGTCAATTTTGACTTCTACACACGGTAGCATTAAGTACCTATTTCTGTAAAGCCACATTAGCCCACCTACTTTCTGCTGATGTTGTAACACAGGACAGACAACTACAATTCAGATGTTTTCCCAATCCCTTTCTGTTAATGATTCAGCTTTATGGTGACGGGTGGGGAGGGAGGAAATCACATTGAAACTTCCCCTCTATGCTCCTTTTAAAAAAAAAAAAAAAAAAAAAAAAATTACTGCAATGTGCTACATGAATGGTTTGAAGCACTTCCAGCAACATACTGGATTTGCCTATGTTGGGATGACTGGCAGTAGTTTAAAAGATATTTCCATCTGGGCTAGATTGCAACACCCATCCGCATGCTGAGCATACCTTATTCAACAATTAGTTTCCCTGACTCTAACTCAACATGAATAAGAGCAATGGAATCCATCCTCAGTATTAAAATATAGCTCATTAAGTATGAATGGAGCAAAAATGCTCATTGAATAATAAACTAGTGTCATAAAAACCCTTCAAGTATTACTACTGTTTCTACAACAATCTTCTACTTTGACAGTTCTTAACCTTCTGAAATATAGGTATAGCTTCTTCCACAGTTTCCAGCACTTAGACCCTCTCTCTTTACCTTAACAGAAGTCCAATGTTTAAACTTTACAGTGCACAACTTACATACGTGGCAATATTTCAGGGAGAAAGAAGCAGCAAGTTTCTCAGAGATCCACTCCTCTGGTCTTCATCTTTGTGGCAAAATGTGTTGGCACGTTCTCAGAATTTTAAGTCCTTTGTTTCTCACTTTTCCAAAACACCTTCTGGGCCCTCTGCCTACAGAAAGAATTCTGTTAATTTCAGGTAGAGAAACTCCCAATCAGTTATTTTCCCAATCTTCATCCTCTGAAAAAGAGAATTAAATCAATTACTATAGATAACCGAAGTTCTTTTTGTGCATATGCTGCTTCTGCTGAGGGTGTGCACATGCTCACGCATGTGACCTCAGGGACTTTGTTAACAATACCTGTACATCGTGTATAGGATGAGTGTCCATGTATGCTCCTCAGCATAAGCAGTACAATCTGCTTCCCCCGTCTCAGCTTCCTTTCCACTACACCCTGAAAAAAAAAGGAGATGAAGGACGAAACGTGCAACAGGTATATAGCACCATTTAAAGTAACCATAAGAATCTGCTTCCTCTGCTGAATGCGTGCTCATATGCACACCCCTGCAGGTGTAATTCCACAGCAATGCCCAATCCATCCAGATCCAGGATCTGGGAGGCTTAGAAGAGCCATAGAAACACCAGTACTGAAATAGAGCATCCAAATCAAAAGCTTTGGAGAGACCTAATCTCTACTGAAATGATGAGTAACAGCCACAGTGGCTTCCAGACAGACACTTAACAGTAGCATGTTTCTAAATTCCGCCATAAGCACGATCTAAGGCTGCACAAATGGGGCCCTTGCTGTTGCCTAGTCTCAAAATGAGGAATTCATTAAAATACCTAGGGGAAGACCATGCTGTCCTTCATCCTCTCCACTATGGCCACCCTAAGTTGAGAAGAACACCTGTGGGTTTTGTTCTTTGCAAAGACTCTCAGACTCACAATACAATGCAGCCTCTTTCTGGACCAATCCATCTTTGGGAAGAATACTGGAAAGTGAATGTTGGTTTTGGTAGCGACCGTGGGGGATGAGTCTTCAAAGGCACCTTCAGTAGAAGAACACTCCATGCAAACTATACCATCTGGTCATGGCTCTCTCTCTCCTGACTTTTTCACCTAGGTGACAAACCGAGATATGCTTTTACTAACCCATGTCTTGGGACACATGCATGCTGCCACAGGTTGAAAGAAGAGACTCCCTAGAGCGTGCAAGCGCTAGACTGCATTGCATTGGCAGTTACTTGAAGTCTTTGTGTATCACTTGTCCAAGTCCCAGCCTTTGTTACTGCTTTGCCCAAGGTAACCATTATTTGCACAAGTCCCAGAATGCCTTTTTCTGGGGTCAAGTATAATCTAGAAACACACTTAAAGTGGCAGAATATCCTACAATGCTGTGTAAACATCACGTAGAATTACCTTTTCCACAAATGAAACAAGTAAGCTACAGAGAGATGAAGTGTCTTGAGCCAAGTAACGTGGCCAGCGCCAAAACCAAGCCTTGATACCCAATGTACGCGTTTAGCTGTTATAGCATATAACTATTTCTCACTTATACTTAATATGCATTACTGTATTATTTTCAATACAAATTGTTTTTACGGTGTTTTAGCTGTTCAGGAGAGATTTTTCAGAACAGCAAAAGCTGTTCATTCCTTCTGGATCAAAGAAACCTCTGTAACAACAGCGGAGGGTTTCCACAAGGTTGCTACTCTGCCTCTCAGAGCAGCTGGCAGATACACTTCTCAGTGTGTTAGGGTGGTCAATAGCTGATCTCATTGGGACGTATCACTTTTCAGCATTGGATACGGTGAAAGAACAAAGTTGTACAGAGTCCAAAATATCTACTTTTTCCTTTAAATAAAAATTTGGTCTTTGGGGAGTAACGATAGGACGTGACTAACAGTTATCTCTGCCTGTACGTGAAGACGTGTAAGCAAGTAGACCACGGGGACTGCAGACTGGGAAACCAAATCACGTAACTAGCAATGAACACACCGTTACAATGACCCGTCTGAAAAGTCACAGGCGCAGGAACTGAGGACTAGGTCACCAGTTGATATTTTACCTTTACAGACCCTTCTAAGCTGCCCTTTAGCCCATTGAGGCCAGAGCTTTGCCTTCGATTTTAAATAAGTCAGATTTTCAGCAGCCTTTGTAAGGGCAGAGTGGAGATTAATCTTAGCCCATGGCAGATAAAAACACCCGTAACTATTTTAATCATTAAGTTAATGAAATCACGCAGCTGAATTGCTGGAGTGCTTCCACACCACAAAAAGAGCTCAATTTCTCGGCTCGAGCGATATTCCCAAAACAGCGCAAACACTCTAGCAAGACCTGAGAGACGTTACCCCCCCCCACCCCCCCAAAACACGTCCCGTGTCTCTAGGGCCGCGGCTCTGCCATCGCCGAGTTACCTGAAAACAACGCACCCTTACCGCGCAAGCAACCCGGGCCGTCACCACCTCAGCCAGCCTCCGTCT